AAAGAAAGAATGCAAACCAAAATCAGACCAAATGAATCCCATATTCCTGATATACTAACAGAAGCAGTATCTTTTGTAGCCATGGTATACATGTATTTAATAGTTTAATAGTAATTTATGAGATACATGAGAAGATGATACTCTTTTTATTATTGGTCAGTTAAACATGAAGTGACATCCAGCAGGTGGTTAGCGTAGCTTAGCAATAAAGCCTGAACATGGGGGGGAATCACTTAGCTTTGCTCTGTCCAAAGGAAAAAATGTCTTTACTACCAGAACCTCTAAAGCTCAACAATATGGTAAAAACATCACAGATAATGCGATTGCAATATGATTCACAATTAGTGTGGGAATTATAATTTTTGCATCACACATTTAATTTTCACTGAAAAACAATATGATGGTATGAAATTTATTGAGATCTGAACCAAACAAACATGTAGAGAACTTGTCAGATAGGGTGTCTCTTCTCTTTTACCTTTATTAAAACATGTAAGCTTCTGCCATTTGGATGTTGCGCTCTATCATATTGCTATATAGATTAAGTTTCGATTAATTGTGCAGCCCTATTTAATTTGTACAAAAATGAAAATGTAAGAAAGCCACTTTGCAGATTTATGAGTAATTATGAGCTGAACTATTTCCTGGTGGGGAGCACTGACTTTCTGGAGTGTAGTTTTACACTTTGTTTTTGCTGGTAGGCAGATTTTGTTAACTTCGAGTGTTTTTCCTTGTTTGCCGTCTTTGTGCTAAGCTAATTGGCTGACAGTGGTATAACTTCTCATCTCTTGGAACTATTCCTCTAGGTATTAAAAAATAGTGTTCCCTCTTTTATTCTTGCCAGATCCACAGAGGAAACACTTAATGAGACTGCAGCTGACTGCTGACGACAAGTCTGTGGACATGAAAGACCCGGCTGTGATGGAGGCAGTCTTGAAATGGGTGACCACTTTTCACATTTAACCTCTGAGCAATTTCTGACAGCTTGTATGACGTTGAATACACAGATCTTCAATTTAACCTTTTATATCTCTTTTCTGTTGGTATAGGTGGAAAGGAAGCTGAAAGATGAAGGTGCATCTGAAGATGTCAAACTGAGCTGGTCGAGGCTTCCAAAGAAGGAAAAAAACACAAATCAAGAACAAACAAAAACAATTCAAACAGTGGAAGAGTGTCTTCAATGATTCATTTTTTGTTGTGTTTTTTCCTTTTGGCTTGTTTGAATATCTGCGTGAAAAATATTTCTTATTTTAACATAATGCAATGCCAGAAGTCTGAATTACATTAAAAGTTCTGTTCATTTCAATAAATCTTATGCATAATTGAAATTATTAAGAGTTCAAATCAATTTTCTTCCCCTGAAAATGTATATCTGTTAAGAAATGACCCCATTTATTCTTTATTTATTATTTATGTGTTTGCTCTTTTAGTAAATGTTACTCATAGATGAAAAAAGTATATTTTCTCTAAAAGAGAGAGATGGATGTAATGACAATGTGCTGTGATGAATAGCAAATGTTTGTAAAAAGAGGGGTTTTATTTGTCCAAGCAGTGAGAACATTTGCTTTAGCCTCTACTTTGCATCCAGATTAATTATACAAAAAAATTGAATAATTAAATTAAATTTAAAATCAAAGATGAGGCTGCTCTTGGGGAGAAGATGAATTCATTTGAAACTGACCAAAAATAATTCAACAAATCTTAACATCTGATTGGACCTCTTGATTATGGCTTGTGTTTATTGGCATTAGTATCAAATTACTTTACTTATTTTAAGTCTCTTATAAGACAACCATTCCTGTTTTGATATCTTATTAATTCTGTATTGTTGTCTTGTACTCATAAACTCTCATTTCTTAACATGTTGCCCTCTTTTCCAATTCAACATCTACCATCTCTAAATTATTGAAGATACAGCCAAACTACTTTTCTCTGCACCACATGCAGGAAACTTCCCTTAAATTTAGTTTTAACATTGGTAGGGACCACGGTTTGGTTAGTTTAGCAGTATCTTGGCTTGATCTTTGTCAGTGCGGCCAATATTTCACCAATATACCATGTACACCGATCAGCCATGAGCGCTGAAAGCTGAAGTGAATGACACTGATTATCTGATTATCATAGCTCCTGTGAGTGGGTGGGATATATAAGGCACCAATAATAAAAAAA